GAAGTACGAAAACCGTACCCTCAAACGGGGGTACGCGCATGCGTACCTGGATTCCCCAATGGATGATAATGAATTCAAAATTAATACACTAACAAATATAATGAGCAATGCTTAGTGTAAAAGAGCGGAATTACTTTTGACATGGTTTCAGACTGAATACCACGAAAATGATTCAGTTTCTAATTTGATAATAGATCTATTCAAAATAAAGAAAAATGAAAAGTACCGGGGTAAGTTTGAATGACCATAATATAAGACAAGTAACAGCTTTTTAAAACGCTTGCCTGACGAAATCAATCAATTTATCTGCATGAAGAGTGATAACTCTTTTGAGCAGTACTTTGTGGGTTTAAAAAATATCCCAACTTTATATTTTGAGAACCTTATGTAACTGCCCTTGGATCTAAATTGATTTCAAGCTACATTGTAACACCAATTATAAAATTTGTTATTAAATCACGCTTTGTGAACATTTTAAAAGATGGATATAATTAAAAACACATTTTGTTGGAGTGTATTTTCTCCTCTGAAGTAAACAGTAGTAATGTGTGTTCATTATTTTTTTTTTCTTAAAAGGGGAGGGGGATGACACTATTATATAATACTTGATATATTGAGAATGAAATAAGTAAATTCAGTAGTTAGGCTTTGTAGAAAGAAATATCCAAGATTATTCACCACTTTTTTTATAAATCGTGTGCATCTGAACAAAGACATATAATAGATCATGCATCTGGAGACGATGGCTTGAACTGCGTTCTTTATTATCATTGGACTCGTCCATTTATGGAATAAATCAACCGCGGGATCGGTAAACAAATTAGAAACATCATTTCTTTAGTGTCCATATACCATGTATACTGATGTATACGATATGTTGTTTTAAAGAATGGTATAAAACTTGTAGATAGAATTTCTGAAGCATTAGAAGGAAGTTAAAAGGACAAACTTTATTTAATTCCATGGAAGTTAGCACACCCGTACCCATTCATACAATAGAACAATCCAAGGAAAAGGCGCGAAGATAGCTTACTAGTGACATTTGGCGCGAAAAGAGCGATATACCCCTTTCGTTGAATATAAATGGACTGGTCCAGTAGTATAGAAATGCAGAAAAAAGGATACACGGACATGTTGAAACGGCAAATCATATGGAATAATCTGTTCCATGCAAAAAGATTAAAAGAAGTAAACACTGCAGTATTTCGCATCAGTAATATCTTTCTTTTTTCTGAAAACTGTTTCTTTTAAAATGCAGGTAAAGAATTCCAATGTAAATCAGCTTGCACAAAATCTAGCTCTTTAGATATGGTCGCACATTTTCGGATCTTGGAAATATCAATCCTTATACTGCCTGACGCTGTGACTTCAGGCAATAAGTGATACCAAAAAAGACCAAGTACCAAAAGGACAGTACAAACTTATATACGGGATCATTCAAAAAGTTCATTCACATTGTCATCATTTTTTTATGAACTTCATATTATAACCAATTTTGAAACACATATCCCCCCAAGTAAAAAAAATATATTTAAAAATTTGAGTTTAAAAAAATTTTGTCATGCTGGAAACAATCAAGTAAAATTCATGAGTGCTAAATGTATTGGTATGTTTAGCTTTGTTTTGGAAAGTTAGACCTTTGAAATTAATTAGTCATTGCTTTCTATACAAGTGTCGTAAAAAAAAATGTTCAATTTCATTAATATACGTGATTCTTGTATTAATATGCACATGTACATGCATGCTTACGTGTCTAGGAAGGTTTCCTGAAGTTAAAATTTCAAATACTAGTAATTTAAATGTCCCGGAAAATTTTAATACCTCTTATTTATTGAATATTTTACAGAGGAATTGAAAATGAAAATAAAAAAGCTCAAGATCCTTCAGAAGTACCTGGTACATATCTTAAGGAGGGAAATAGATCCCAAGGATTTAAAGGAAAAATCCATCATTCATTCAAAATCCTTAGGAGAACATTTCACACAACCAGTCCTACAGGATCTTTACGGAGTTGAGAAGACTGATGATTACAGTAAGCTGGATATGCCCCTGGTTTTTGCTTTGCTAAGAAACTTCTGTGAAAATATCAAACCTCCAATCAGAGGGTGGGACTATGAACCTCCAGATGATGAAGAGATAGTTTGTGCTGACATTGAAAGGATCCGATCTATGTGGAATAAATACTGTGATAATAATTACGACTTCAGGAATTTAGATGATGTTTCCGACAGAATGAAGAATAAAAACGGAACTGTAGCTGTTCAGAATAATCCAGAATTACAAAATAAGGCACAAGATGAGATGGAAGATTTTTCGGAGATAATAGAAAAAATACAAAGTGAGTTTTTTTTTTTTTTTTTTTTTTTTTTTTTGAAAATTAAGGTCTGAATATTTGAACGTTTATTTTTTGAAGAAGTGTTTTAAACATTTTAAAGTGTTTGTGTTAATGAGAACATGCAGTAATGATTAAATGTGTTTGTGTTTGTGTGTGTGTATTTGTACGTAGGTATTAAGCTGAATCCAGACTGCACTGTTGAGACAAGCATTGTGATAACAGAAGGGATAAAGTCAGCTCTTCTGTCCCTGGAGACAGGAAATGTAGTAATCTGTAAAGGAGCCATAGGATGTGGTAAAACTCACGCATTGAAAGCAATCCAGAACAGATCTATAAAGACAAAGGATGGAAAGTAAGATGGATGGAGGAAAATATAACTTCTCTAAAGGAAAATGTGGAAGATAAAACAATTGTGATTTGTGACAATCTTTTTGGAAGTTATGGTTGTAATACATTTTCATTAAGTAGAATATCAAGCATTGAAAATTTTCTTGAGAGTATACACGAAAAATCAAGGAATATTAAAGTTGCTGTTGGAATCCACCAACATGTTTTTGATGAAGTCAAAAGAAATTGTTATCAAAATCTGAATCTCCTTCAAAACAGAAACCTAACAGTTGATTTGGACAATTTGATAAAATCGGAAATACTACTAATTTTGAAAGAACAACAAAAACAGGGTCACTGTAAAGAAGATCCAAATTGTTGGTTTAAAAATGTTGACCTCACACTTGCGATTGATAAACTAAAGGAAAACCAGGGCCATATTGGAAGCCCTTTTCTTAGTTTGATGTACTTCAACCAACACGAATTATTTTCTGACGAAGCTTTCACCAAAGCCCCACTCCAGACATTAACGCAACGTTTTCAGGAAATCCGAAATAATTCAACTGACTATAACAGTCTCATTTATTTGATGTGTGTTAGAAAACACAAACGTGAATATGAATTGAGCAGCTGGGCAGGTGCACTTGAGAACAATTTAACCATAAGGGCTCTTCTTGATATTACAACTAAAATGCCTGGCTTTGTCAGAGTTGAAAACGGTATTGAAACACTTCGTCATGAAATCTTGACTGCAGCCTTATTCAAAGCTGCTGCTTCTTTAGAGGAAGATTTCTTACCAGTTGTTCAGCATTGTGAAATAGAAATCTTACTTCAGCTGATAAGACCTGCTGAATATAGTTCTGCAATACTGAATTTACACACAGTTTTGCTTATCCACAGAAAAACACCACTCAAATTACAAACATCGGTGACTACTTAGTAAAAAGATTTGCAGATGCCTTCAAGACGGTTTGGGAGAGTATGGGGCACCCTCTGAAAGAGAATATTATTTTCAGAGAGAAATTTCAGCATTATTTGACAAATGATCCACTAGAAGAATAAAACCCGTAAATGAAGACTCCAATGATAAAAACGATGAACAAAGTCATTTAACATCCCATTAAGTTAATGTAATTGTTTTGGAGCAGGTTTCTATTACAAGTAACTGAACACAACCATGAAACGTAAACTGAATTAGAAAATATACAAGCCTTGTTAATTTTACGTTTCAGCGTGTGAAATGCTACAGCAACATATAGGTCATGAAGTTATACAAACTTATAAAATTTGAGAAAATATTGACATCAAATATGTGTCCCTTTAACACGAGTGATATATTCAATAACTGAAGGGTTATCATTTTAGAAGTACAGTTCTCCAATCTTGTTCAAATAAATATATATTATTTCAGTTTAAAAATTGAATAAAACTTTCTTACTGATGTCTTTTGTAAATTTAAGGTCCTGTTTTAGCAATTTATATGTTTAGCTATTTTGTTTTTGTTATATCCCCCGCTTGAAAAGTGGGAGGGGAAATGCTAAAAACTGACTTGCGTATAAACAGTTGGATACCTCGGACCTGCTCTAAACAAGTTTCAGCAACGAGTTATCGTTCATAACAGCGAACCCTAGCGGCAGTTGAAAGGCCTAGGATATATTTACAACCTTAAAATTATGAAGGCTTTAACAAACGAATATTCATGAGAAAAATACTGTTATATTTTCGTCAGTAACCAGTATTTATAACAGATTGAACTTGGTTGAATAATGAAAGGATCAAGGAATGTGGGTGGGTGTATCCACTTTGCAATTACGCAATTGGATTGTGGCGTTTATTCTCTTTTATACCACCTTTTTTTGATGACAGGCATATCAGTGCCTGCTTTATGCTATATCTAATTTTAGGGGGTCAGATTGCATAATATGATACCAAAGATTTTAGTATTTTTTTAAAAGTTTTTTCTAGTCTTGTCTGACCCCCTTTTAATATGTTTATATTTTTGTTTTGCGCCATTTACTTCAATAAATGACATTTTTTCACTTTCACTACTGTTGTTATTTTATTTTCAATCCATCAAAAAACTAGCTCAGTTCAGTCAGTTGACTTGGCTTCGGTCTTGCATTAATAACAGAGGAACATAAATGTTAACCTTCAATATGGCGGCCATGGGGGTTAACCCTTGCTTAAATCACATGAAAGGAAAACAATCTATAGAATAAAATTTTACCAAGAAAATGCTTAAAGGGGGAGGAAATGAGCACCTCCTTCAAATTTACCTGGTCTTAGAACCCCTGTCAATCATCTGAAATTAAGCCTGGGATTGGATACTTTGATTTGATTGACATTTGGTTTGCTGATGTTGTGTATATCTTGTGTACCTTGTCTGGAGATTGTACAGACCATCGAATTAACTTTCAGGCTTTTGATGCCTACCGCACATGCCAACGTGATAAAGAAGCAATCAAATCGTTCTTTTCTTTTTAATTCATTAGAATATGCCATAGATATAATCCATCTTTCAAAAAATTAAACAAATGACAAGAAAAATCATGGCTATATAATATATATTATATAAATTTAATTTTAAAAGGGAGGATTTCATATCACGATTGCAATCAATAATTTTAATTTCCATGTCAAAACATGATACTTTTATTCCTCCATTAATTAACAAAATAAACCGACCTGCGTTTGAAGCTAGTATCATGGAATTAAATAAAATTATTTTTTTAAACAAGTAAGACAACATTGTAATATTGTTCAGGAGTCAAGCGAATTTATATTTATAAGACAAACCTGTACGTGTCGCTTTTCTTCGAGACATGCTGACGAAGTTACGTTATAATAATAAGTTTTAGAAGAGAAATTATTCGGAATATAACATCTTGCTCTGTATTTCATGTTTGAAATTTATAATGAATCCCGAAAGAAAAAAACGATGCAGATGATTCCATTCCCGTTTCATAGCTGTCGGGGAATCAACCCTGGTCTGAAGCCCTGGCCATTTTTACAGAGCATGCGTTATGGAAAAATCAAGTAATGTTTATCAAATGTTTATCTTAAAAAAGATATTTATTTAGACAATAATATTTCTACTTCAACATTTTATTCTCAAAGCATCGTTTCTAAGTTTCATTGTTATTTACCGAGAGACTGTTCTTCTTTCGTTTTGCGTAGACGACGTGTAATTTGAATTACTTCCCTTTTTGTTGCCAGATTACAACGACAGATTTTGGTGTTAAATGTATTTTCGTTATTAACACTTCATTAAAACACACTGTATATATATTATTATATATATATAAAAATGTCGAATTATTAAAAATATCAATTATTTTAAAAGAAAGAAATTGAGAAGGATTCTGTCTGCAACAAAAAATGCTTTATTTCGCATTTCAATTCATGAGCTAAACAATAAACATGAAAAAACGGCCTCGGTTTACAAAGTCGTAGGAAAAAGTATACAGGTAATACACTCAGGTAACATCCTGTGTATATAGGTAGTATACACGGTGTCTTCTAGCTATTCCTACTTTTTAAATATCTCAATTCCACCTATTCCCACTTGCAAATAACAATAAATGTTTAGATTTACCTGTATTTTGTACATTTAAAGACAGAAAATAATGAATAAATCTATGAGAAAAAATGATTTATTTTGGGGCTTCTCAGCCGCTTCGATTAAGCTCCACCCCACACCAAACTTACCTGAGGAAAACCGTACGGTTAAAAACCTCGGCCTTTAAGTTAATCATTGAACCATATGTTATGAAGAACTTTTCGGGTCATGGTTTGTTATACCTTGTTTGCTGGTGAAGCTGGTGAAATAATATCAATAAATATAATAACATAAAAAATATCATTTTAAAGATAATCATAAACCATGTGGAGATAACGAACAGTATTCAAGACGAATAGTCCATAAAGCAGAGCAAAACACGGACATCCAAAACATCAGAGTTTGGATCAGGTGCCATGGAGAAAAGAGCATGGCCTGTCGACAGGTCACACCCGCCGTGTGCTCCTTGTCATGATCGGGAAATAATGGGAAAATCTGTCGTCAATTCAGTGTATAATTGATGGACTAACAATTAGTATGAAAAAGAAGTCAGTCAGCATATGACTCAGTGATAAATTGTATTTGCTGACAAGGTCATTGTATCGACCATAGATCTTACGAAATGATTACTTTAAACGAAACTGCTGATATTCTTGTTCCATTATCTTGTTTGTGAATAGTTTACCTCTTTTCAGAAACTGTTCATACGTAGAGCAGAACAATTCTCGGGTAAGCTTGGACTTACAGTAAGGCGTGGCATTCTCGGCGCTACGTAATATAGTGTCTTTCAAATTGCAAAAAGTTTTTTATTGGTTAAGAAAATTAATAACATCAGGAACTTAAAATTATTGTTGACAACTATGAGACGACTTAAGCCTCACCTCTTTGCCGAACGAGACAATATTATATATAAACTTTTATTTTGATTATATAACGTTTTTATCGTTAATTAGTGGATTTTATTTGAATTAAGTAATTTACGAGACATACGTACATTAAATAATTGGTTTACGTGCCTTTTACGTTTATCCATCTTCGCAGACCGAGATGCTGTTTATCTGTTTTTAAACTTTTGCAATTCAATTTTTTTAGAAGGAAACCTTGTGTTTTCGTTTTAGACTCTTTCTTTTTTAAAAAAAAAAAAAAAAAAAAAAAAAAAAAAGCTAATTTTTGCGGCCGATTTGATTCATTTTTGTTTAAAATTCTACTATTGTGGCTTCTTTCCTAAACCGTATAACGGGTAATTTTTACTGCTGTAAATTTTTACGAATTTTTGTCAAAAAAGGGTGATTTAAATTTTTACGCGTTAATTTTTTACGAAGTGAACATGTCCGTAAAAATTAAAATCATCAGATGTGAAATTCCAGATCAGTGATGGTTAGCACTTTGAATGCGTTAACGTACATATAATGTGTCCGATGCAAGAGAGAGAGAGAGAGAGAGATTTATTAAATTATTACAATATAAACCATGCAACAAATTACACATTGTATAATGTTTTTATCATTTACCTTTATGTACATGAACAAGGTGCCCTTCATTTACAAATTCAAGTTTTATAAAACACAAAGCTAGGCACACCACGTGCTCGTTTGGTGTTTACCGAAAACAAAGAGA